CTGTCAATTCGTAAAACTCATTCTCTGTTGAGTTTTGTTGCCTTACTGGCAAGGAGTTGTGATCCTTTCGAGGAGAAGAGGTGTTCTGGTTTTTTTAATTTCAGACAGTTTGTGCTGGTTTCTCTCCATCTTCATGGATTTATTTACCTTTGGTCTTTGATATTGATGACCTTCACATGGGGGTCTCTGAGTGGATGTCATTTTTGTTGATGTTGATGCTATTATTCCCTTCTGTTCATTAGTTTTCCTTCTGACAGTCAGGCTTCTCTGCTCCAGGTCTGCTGGAGTTTGCTGGAGGTCCATGCCAGACCCTGTTTGTCTGGGTATCACCAGCAGAGGCTGCAGAACAGCAAAGATTGCTGCCTGTTCCTTCCTCTGGAAGCTTCGTCCCAGAGGAGCACCCATCATATGCCAGCCAGAGCTGTATGAGGTGTCTGTTGGCCCCTACTCGGAGGTGTCTCCCAGTCAGGAGACACGGGGTTCAGGGACCCACTTGAGGAGACAGTCTGACCCTTAGCAGAGTTCGAACGCTGTGCTGGGAGATCAACTGCTCTCTTCAGAGCTATCAGGCAGGGACATTTAAGTCTGCTGACGCTGCCCACACATCCACCCCTTCCCCATGTGCTCTGTCCCAGGGAGATGGGGGTTTTATCTGTAAGACCCTGACTGCGGCTGCTGCTTTTTTTTCAGAGATGCTCTGCCCAGAGAGGAGGAATCTAGAGAGGCAGTCTGGCCACAGCAGCCTTGCTGGGCTGTGCAGGGCTCTGCCCAGTTTAAACTTCCCAGCGGCTTTGTTTACACTGTGAGGCTAAAACAGCCTATTCAAGCCTCAGCAATAGCAGATGCCCCTCTCCCCACCAAGCTCAAGTGTCCCAGGTTGACCTCAGACTGCTGTGCTTGCAGCAAGAATTTCAAGCCAGTGAATCTTAGCTTGTTGGGCTCTGTGGGGGTGGGACCTGCTAAGCCAGACCTCTTGGCTCCCTGGTTTCAGCCCCCTTTCCAGGGGAGTGAATGGTTCTGCCTTGCTGGCATTTCAGGCACCACTGGGGTATGAAAAAAAAATCTGCAGCTAGCTCAGTATCTGCCCAAACAGCCACCCAGTTTTGTGCTTGAAACCCAGGCTCTGGTGGCATAGGCACCGGAGGGAAGCTCCTGGTCTTTGGGTTGTGAAGACCGTGGGAAAAGCACAGTATCTGGGCTTGAGTGCACCGTTCCTCACGGCACAGTCCCTCACGTCTGTCTTGGCTAGGGAAGGGAATTCCCCGACCCCTTCCACTTCCCAGGTGAGGCAACGCCCTGCGCTGCTTTGACTCACCCTCTGTGAGCTGTACCCACTATCTGATCAGTCCCAGTGAGATGAACTGGGTACCCCAGTTGGAAATGCAGAAATCATCCGCCTTCTGTGTCAATCTTGCTAAGGGCTCCAGACCAGAGCTGTTCCTATTCGGCCATCTTGCCAAGTCTATATCAAAAAACTTATTTTTAAAAAGACAGATATTGGCCAGGTGAAGTGGCTCACACCTGTAATCCAAACACTTTGGGAAGCTGAAGCAGGTGAATCACTTGAGTTCAGGAGTTCAAGACCAGCCTGGCCAATATGGTGAAACTCTGTCTCTACCAAAAATACAAAATTAGCAAGGCATGGTGGCAGGCACCTGTAATCCCAGCTACTCAAGAGACTGAGGCAGGGGAATCGCTTGAACCGAGGAGGCAGAGGTTGCAGTGAGCCAAGATGACACCACTACACTGCAACCTGGGAAACAGAGCAAATCTCCATCTCAAAATAAATCAGTAAACAAATAAAACAAAAAGACATATTCTAGTTTTGGACGTGTTCAATTTAGTGTGCATCACGATACCAGAAAAAGTGAAACACAAAGCCAGAAATAAGAGAAAGTTACATTCTGTTTGTTTTTAGCTAGCTATATCCATATCGAGGATGAACTCTGCTAATATGTCAGTACCCATTCAGTATTAAATAATGATGAGTACATGCCAGGATCATGCTAGGTGCTTCACATGCATTATTTCAAACATATTGATGGATCTGTGTACTCAATGCATTTTACCTAGCCCCTTTCCTTAAATGTCCATGGGTAAAACATTAAAAACAGTGAAATACACACAAGTGCTGGATACAAGGAGTGGCACAAGTCATAGCCCTAAAAACTGAGCAACTTTTTAAAGATATTATAAAGAAGAGAGACTTGCAGGATAGTCTAATCAACCCGTATGTTACTGCCTACATGATAAAAGCTCACCTGAGAAGCTCTAGGGGCAAATGAGCAACTGGACTAACACTTATAAAGCAGTGACAGGGCTCCTGGGGAGTAGAAAAAGATCAAAGAGTAAAATAATAAAGGGTAATCTGATCATGAATTACATGAGGAAGAATGGGCTTCCACTTTGATGATAATGAGGAGGAGGATGATAATGATGATAACGAGTACAAAGTGAAAAACTAAATACCAACTGTCTCTATAAGGCATTTCAGAAAGTAAACATCTGTTTTTAAACAAAATTTTTAACCTTAGAAACAAACTATGGCTTGTTTGCATGCCATTAGAAGAATAACAAAGAGCATCATTGTCATTTTTAAGGAACCAAACCATCGATCTTAGGTCACCAAACTATTCTCCCTGTTAGAATGGTACAGTCATACAAAGAGATGGTAATATAAAAGCAATTGAGGCACAGAAGAGGATAACTATGGAACTCTCCAGCAAGTTCTCCAACTGGGGTCTCAATATGTGCGATGTACCTTTCTTACTAGCAAAAGACATCCTGGCTTCTGGCTTGGCAAAAAATTCCAAATCAACCCTGACCTCCTTATCTGCTCCTGGAAGGTTTAATAAATCCCAATATCATCAGTGCTGAAAGAAACCTTAACATACAATGTTAGAAAAGTATGACTTTCCCTTTAAAATGCTGTGAAAAATGGAAAAAAATATGGGACGAATGAAAACATTCAGCACCTCAAGGAGGAAGAAAGAACAAGAGGAAAAGAGCATAAGTGATTGAAGAAATAAATTATTTCTAGAACAGAAGAAAAAATAAATTTCTAGAAAATTTAAGACTTCCTACATGTAAGAAACTATTTAAAGGGTAACACCTGAGTTCAGAAAAACATTGTCTTTCACCACAAATATATGGGACGATTATAGGAGAAATAAAATGCTGACTTATAAAATCACTCATAAATCGTTAAAAATTCATTTTTATAAGATTGGGGACATGTGAAACATTCAGGTTAGAATATAATATTAAATTAAAATGCAAGTCTGTGTGATCCTAATTATTTTTTCCTTGCTGCCTCTTTGATCAGGTCTTTATTCAAAAGAAGCTGTTCAGAATGATTTGACCTTTGTGGAATAATCAAATTTCAGAGTTTATGCAGCAGGTTTCTTTTCCTCTGTAGTAGGTTTCTCTTCTGCCGGCTTCATTTCAGCTGCTGGTTTCTTGGTAGCTGTTGCCTTTTTTCCCACCAGAGGCTTCTTCTGCTTCTTAACACCACCACCAACAGCCTTCTTTCCTTTCTTACCTACCACAGGCTTCTAGCCTACGAACCCCTTCTCATTTGATTTGGCTTCCAGTGCAGCTGCTGCTGGATACTGCCTTATTCCCCAGGAGCCTGTGATTCCTGGCCTGGCGAAGAATGGTGTTGCGGCGCATGGTCTTTGCCTATGGGTTTAGCTTCAACGTGATTCTCAGACTTTTCAGTGGGTTCTTTAGGACTCTGCGATGAATCTTCTTGCATGGTGCTCGAAGGGCTCTCTGGATCTCTGGGCTTTTTAAGATTCTGCTAAGGTCTGTGTTGATCATCTTGTGCATGGGAAGATTGTAGTTACTCTTGAGGGAAGCAACTTTATGCCAAGTACCATACAATTCATCTAACTTCCGGAAAGCACTTTCAGTCCAAATGCAGAAACGTCCCACATGCCCACCAGGAGCAAGTTTCAAAATGTTCGGTTTGCTTATATTAAGCATCGTAATTCCAGGGATGTTTCTGAAGGCCTTGATGATACCATTATCCTCATTATAGATGACGCAGGGGCCCCTGCCCTGGATATGGTGATGGTTTCTCGTTTTGCCCTTGCCGGCTCTCATTTGCTGAGAGGCATAGACTTTTTCGATATCACTCCAGGCTTTAAGTTTCTTAAGAAGCAAAATAGCCTCCTTGGTCTTCTTGTAGCCTTCAACTTTATCTTCAACTACCAAAGGAAGTTCAGGAGCTTCCTCAATACGATGACCCTTAGACATGACCAGTGTTGGTAAGGCTGAGGCGGCCAGGGCAGAAGAGATAGCATACCGTTTTTTGGGTTGTATTCACTCTCCTATGCCAATGGCGCCAGGTTTTGGTTGGTGCAAACATTCGACCTCCATGACACATGTTTCCAAAAGCTCCCTGGCCAGAATGGTGAGTCCCACCACCTCGGACTCTGGGAATTTGAGCCACAGCTCTGCCAGTACCCCAAGACTCAACACTGATTTGATGACCTGCTAATTCACTGACAGCATGGGGCTGTCTGTTGTTTTTGCACTAGTAGGTGTGAACAAAGTTCACAATACCTGGTCGAATAGGAGCCTTGAATAAGGCAGACAAAGTGACATTTTTGCCAGATGACTCCCCCTTTTCAGAGTACACGGATATCAGTGGGCGAGCACACACCATGGCAGAGAGAGGAGAGAGCCACTGCTCCGCTCACCCCAGCTGCTGCCACAAGAAGAGCGATCCTAATTTTGTTTTAATGAAGAAGGAATACTAAATGTCAGCTATGAATTATCTGTGTAATAGGCTTATAAGACATTTTGATTTCTATTTTATAATTTCCTATTTTTTCCTATACCATGCAGTTAATATATTTATAATTAGACAAAGTTAACAAATACTAATATTAAAAGATAAGAGACTCCATCAAGGAGAGGATTCTCTGACACCAAGATGTCCTTGGTAAGGGAGAAATCATTCAGATGACTTTATGGCAGCCATAAAGTCAACCCTAAGACCAGGATTTCAACTAAGAAATCATTAACTCCCAAAAAGAGTTTAATCAAAATGTTCTGAAAGTTATTAAGTCATTTTGAAACTGACGTTTTAGGATGTTTTGTAACATTAAAAATACAAAACAGCAAAATCCCTGACTTAAAGATAAAGGAAATAGAGTGTGGCTTTAGCCCCAGGCGCAGGTTTAGGTACAGGATACAGGTGCCTGAGAGGCAATGTGTACTCTCTGCACAGAAGTAGATAGCTGAGTCCTCAGTCTGGGTGTCTGCGATGCGCAAAGACAGATGTTTATCCTTCTTATTCAATAGAACAGTGACTCTTTGGTCTCGTTTCAGGTCCATATTTGAAAGAATATATATCAGCAACTGGAGACCTGCTCCAGGTTCTTGCTTATACCAATATAAGTAGGTGGAGGAACTGTCCGTGTAAGTGCAGTTTATAACGGAGATGTCTCCCTCTCGGACACTCAGGAAAAGACTCTGCTCCACATCCTCTCCTCTACTCATACCTGTGCAAAAGGAAAAATCAGACAAGATCATCAGGTCATCATTCTCTAGAGTTTGCTTTTTTATTTTTTTCACTGTAGTAACTTCAGGCATTCTGGAAAAGACCAGATGAGTCTCCTCCTCAGACTTCTAATGAATATTTATTAAACTCTCTGTTCCTCAAAAGCTCTCAACTCACAGTCCAGCTGCAGCCACAAAAACAGGAACAAAGATCCAGTAAGTGTCTTCATTGTTCTCCCCACCGGGACCTGCAATCTCCAGCCAAGAGAGCTATATTATCAAGTGTCTCTTCCTTTCCTCCAAAGCACTGTGGTTTCTTAAACAGTCCACAGAGGCATCTGCTTCTGTCCTCAGCCTACTCACAGAAGTCAACCAAAAGGATCCTTTCATACATTCTACATGAGCAGAGAAGCTCTGCCATCTTGTGGTCAGATCCCCAAACGCTAAACCAATTATCCTGTATCTGTAGGAGATTGTGGCACATAAAACAGCAGAAGGCCAAATAAAGTAAATTCCAAGTGTACCTCCAGTCAGAAATTATGTGGATTAGCAGACAGAAAAAGTGCAAACGTAGGTTTCAGAATTCCATTTTATCTTCTCAGCACACTACTGAGTCATTTTAAATATATTGGAAGAAGTTAGAGGTTTTTCATGTTTATTAAAGACAGTCTATTTGAAATTAAGAAAATGCCATGATTCAGTCTGCAAAGCTACTGAGGAGTAAAACTTTTCCTCCTTATCCCTCTACTACTTTTTGAATTGGCCAGAAAATCAATCAGCCAAGTCAACCATCCTGTTTCAGCACTCACAGAGGCAAAACTCTTTGTGAAGGTAACACTTAAGCACAAACATTGGAGTAAGACAGGTTCACTAAATATATCAGATGCAGGCTATTTCAGGCTCTGCTCCTCCAAGCCTGACCTTGCCATTCCCAGGAAATTGACAGTGCCAGAGGTCAAAATATGAGTGTTGTTTTCTTCAAAATGACTAAATTATAAAATAAAAAAGGAAGGAGAAAGGCTTCCATGAGTTGATAATATCTGTCTAATGAAAGGGAAGAGTTTAGCTTATAGACTGTGATGAAAAATCTGACACGCACTCTGAAATCTTTTCCTCTGGAAGAACAGATCATCTGAAATTATGGATATGTGGCTTACTTATTGCAACGTATTGACATAAAAGAGGAAACATCTCAGGAAACATCAGGCTACAGATTGAGATAATGTAAACAAGTGTACATCTTTTCCAAGTGTACTCTTATTCCTATTGTCAGAATGAGTGGCTTGTCCTCAGATGTGATCACCGAATAATGATCTGTAGTAGAATTTCCCTGCCCTTACCTTGGGCGCTGCTAACTCAGATTTCAGACCCAAAAACTTTTCCCTCGATTTTATTGTCTATTGCTAAAATCATCGTTTAGATATTCCCCTGTGATAAAGCCCTTCAGTACTTTAAATTCTCTATCCAAGCCCTATATCATCTATTTTAATTTCTTCAGTCTTTCTGATTCATTCCTGTAAGAATAAATATAAGTAAGCATAAAACCAATGCCTGTTAGTAACATAATATATGTAGGAAACTGACAATGGCAAATTTACTCTCCGTCCGGGGAAACTTGGTTTGACTATTTTTCACAAGTTGAAGTCTCTTCCCTATGCTTTGACTTAGTAGATCTCCAAGCAATGTAGAAAATTAATCTAATTCCTCGTCTACATGGCATAACCAATATATCTCGAGTGGGATTATGCAGAATCGCATTCCTAAAATACAAAGACATGTACATATTACAAAATGTATATAGATTTATATACATTAAATGTATTTATTTAAAGTTTTCATTTAAATTTTTTTATTCTTTTACTCATTCATCATAACATATAATTCCCAGGTCCTTTATCATATTCCTTAGTTGCATTTTCCTTGAACTTTTCTTAACACTTTAGGTCAATATCTGTCCTTCGGATATACAGCATGCAGAGTTGAAAATACTAGTCTTTAGGTGGTCTGCTTCTGTTCCACCTATTTACTATAACACTACTCACAATTATGACCTGGAAAAATTTCTACTCCTGTGATTTTTTTCATAAAATATTGCCTTATTGTCAAAAACAATGGCATGGAATAGCTCTATTTTCTAGTACTGACACGGATTTCAATATGCATAAGCAATGTTCATTTTGCTCTCAATTTATCTACTTTTTCTCTTCCCTTCGTCATTTTTTCTTTCAGTCTGTATGTGATGCACAACATGTTTATAAATACAGGATAATTCGTATAATTTGTTATTAATAATATGGAATAGAAAGTACATCTGAGTGATAAGGCTAGTTATAAACAGTTCTTGGCCTACTCTTACTAATGTCAGAGAGTGCATTACTGATTTCCTTGTAGTATGAGAGTGGCTGACCCTAGGTCTCCTATTCTTTTCAAAATTCTGAACATGTATTGTCTGGTTGGCATAGATCAATGGTCATATACATGGTTAGGGGCCAGACAGTGTATGCCCATACTGTAGGACAGTGTCTCCCCGCTGACACACAAATGTAAGACCATAATAACTTGGCACACAGTATTCAGTGAATGTCTTTTCAGTTAAATTGGATCCCAGAATTTCAGAGCTATTAGAACCCTTAGGATTCTGTAATTCATGGTTTTTCAATATTGGCACTATTAACATTTGTACAAAATAATTCTTGGTTGGAAGCTCTCTTGTCCATTTTAGGATGTTTAGAGCATCTCTGAACTCTCTCCACTAAATGCCAGTTTCAACTGTCTGTACGACAATAAAAAATATCTCCAGATATTCCAAAACATCCCTTGAAGGACAAAATTGCTCCCATATGAGAACCACTGTTCTAGCTCAATCTCATTCACAAATAAAATACTGAATCTAAGGTAAGTTTAGAGTCTCAACAAAATAAAACAATTAACTAGTTAAAAAAAAAAACCCTAGAACTTGAAAAAAATATTTTTCACCTCCCTTCATCATTCTGTTTACTTCATCACTTCAGGACCACATTGCTGAACAAAAAGGTACACATTCAGGAACTGTGCTAAAATGCAAATCCTGAATCACTAGGACTGGAGTTTGTCCTAAGACTCTGCATTTCTAACAAATTCCAAAGTGATGCTGATGCTGATGATTCAATGTGGATGACTACAGATGGGGCCGGACTGCCCTCCTATTTTCTGTTTTGTGTTAGGTTAGAATTAATTCTTCATTAAATGTTCTATTCAACTCACCTTAGAAGCAACCTGAGCCTAGAATTTTTCTGTGAAATTTTATGGGGTTGTTTGTTTGTTTTTTGTTTGTTTGTTTTGAGATGGAGTTTCGCTCTTGTTGCCCAGGCTGGAGTGCAATGGCACAATCTCAGCTCACCGGCAACCTCCACGCGACTCTCCTGCCTCAGCCTCCCAAGTGGTTGGGATTACAGGCATGCACCACCACGCCCGGCTAATTTTGTATTTTTAGTAGAAACGAGGTTTCTCCATGTTGATCAGGCTGGTCTCAAACTCCCTCAAACTTAGGTGATCCACCCACCTTGGCTTCCCAAAGTGCCGGGATTACAGGCATGAGCCACTGCACCCAGACTATGTTTTATCATTTTTTAGTTCAAAATATCTTCTAACTTTCCTTGCAATTTCTTCTTTTATCAATGGGCTACTGAGAAGTATATTGCTTAATTTGCAAATATTTGGGGGTTTTCTACTGTATACCTTGTAACTGACTTCTAAATTAATTATATTGTGGTAAGAAAACTGTAGGATTCTAATCCTTTCAAATCTATTGAGACTGTTTTACATTGATGAATGTTCTAAGTGTTCTTGAAAAGAATGTATATAGTGCACTTGGTGGATATAGCGCTCTATAAATGTCAATTAGGTCTAGTTGATTGTTCCAGCCTTGTGTATTTTTACGAACTTTCTGTCTACTTGTTCTATCAATTACTAGAGAAGAGCATTACAGTCTCCAACTCTGATTACAGATTTGCCTATTTCTCCTTTAATTCTGTTAATTTTGTTTCATATATTTTATAACTCTGCTATCAGCACATAAACATTTAGAGAATATTATCTCTTCTTGATCAAGTGACCCTCTGTTTATTATTAAGTAACCCTTTTATCTCGTAACACCCCTCATTTTGAAATAGTCTTTAATATTAATAGAGACACTTAGCTTTCTTTCGGTTGCTATTTGCATGGCATAGGTTGCCTCTTACTTTCAACTCATGTTTGTCTTTAAAGTACATTTTTTGTGAATGACATACAATTGTGTCTTTTTGTCTAGTTTGAGAATATGTCCCTTTTATTTGGAGTGTTTATGCTATTTACATTTAATGTAATTGTTTTTATTTGGTTTGAATCTACAATCATAATCCATTTTCTATGTTTTTCCTCTAGTCTTTGTTAATATGCCCATTATTCTTCCTTCTTTTGATTTATTCGAGAAGTTTTTATATTCAGTCATTCTATTTCCCCCATTGGCCATTAGCTAAACCTTTTTGCTTTGGTTTTTTAATTGTTTATCTACAGATTATCATATGCATCCTCAGTTTATCAGATTCTCTCTTGAATTAACATCATACTACTTCATACATAATGCAAGAATCTTACAACCGTTTAATCCTATTGCCCCTTCAGTTTTTTGTGTTATTGCTATTGATTTTATTTATATATGTTATTAGCTGTATAATACATTGTTATTATTTTTGCATTTGTCAACTGTATTTTGAAAAACTTAGAAAAATAATCTTTTTTAATGTTTTCACATACTTACTATTTTTAATGTTCTTTATTACTTCCTTGGGTCATAAATTCCATCTGATATCATTTCCCTTCAGTCAACAAATCACCTAACAAAAATACTTTATAATTTTTGAAGTATGATCCTGCTGATAACAAACACTCTCGGCATTAATTTATTGTTAAATGTCCTTGTTCCACAGTATAGCCCTAGTTGTAGGGTATACCCTTTAGTCCCAGAGTATTGTCCTTATTTCTAGGGCATGGTCCTTCTGGGTTTTCATTAGAAAGTCTAAGGTTTTACCAAACCTCTTTCACTTGGCAGCACCTGCATTTAAAATTCTATTGCCCTAGTTCAGGGCAACTGCTAAAATCTTTTCTCTCAGCCATCTGGCTGTTGTTTTCTACTTACTTTCTTAGAGTCTTGTCTTATGCATGCACAACTCAAGAATCAACCAAGGGATAGTTTTATTTTTTGTTTTTAGCTTGTATAAATTTAGGTGCTACAAGTGCATTTTTTATACATGAATATAAAGTCTTGGCTTTTAGTATAGCCATCACCTGAATAATGTACATTGTACCTCTTAAGTAATTTTTCATCTCTTACCCGCCTCTCACTCTTTCACCGTTCTGACTCTCCAGTGTCTATTATGCACTCTCTGTGTCCACGTGTACACATTATTTAGTTCCCACTTACAAGTGAGAACATACAGTATTTTCTGTTTCTGAGTTGTTTCACTTAAGATAATGGCTTCCAGCTCTATCTATGTTGCTGCAAAAGACATGATTTCATTCTTTTTATGGCTGAATAGTATTCCATTGTGTCTATATACTACATTTTCTTTATCCCACAATTAGGTT